AAGATTAGTAGGGTCATTACCTAATACCTGACCATTGTGGACCTGGTCTCACCCTTCTCTGTATACATACACCTTGATTTGTATTTCTCTCTCTAGTCTGTACTCACCCCTGAAGATGTGAATTACACGAAAGCGCTTGGGAACTTCGTGTTTTCTTCTTTCCTTGTGGTTATCAGCATATACCTAGATCACACGCACCTACTTTACGTGGTTAATTCAACCCACAGGGTACCGCGGAAAGTGAGAAACGCGTAAAGTGAACAACATATATGGGATTAATTGAAATAGAGACCGGGCCGACCCCCAAACTCAACTTTTTCAGACACAATACCTACGTTGTAGTAAAAATAAATTCTTAATTTTATGATGGTATGCACACACAATTAATAATTAAGAGAAATATCAATAATATTAGGTTTTTTAACACTTACATTAGTAGAAAGGATGGCTGGGCACACAGGGATGGGGGGTTGGTTCCGAGGCAGAGGGCAGATTATTGGCCCTCACCTGTAACACTTGTGTCAATTGTATCACTATCCACCACAGAGGCTTGCAGGGCCTCTTTGTCAAACCCCTCAAAGTCCATATCCTCACTATAATTATCACTATCACTGACTTGGGCCGGCTGTGGTGGGTGGCGGGTGAGAACTCAGTAATGTTTTGATGACTGGGCGACCTTGTGCGCACCATGCTCGCACCGCTTACACAACATGGTGGATGGCGGGAGGCGGGGGAGAGATGGCGGAGGTTTGGATCAAATGTGGCGGCTGACCAGCCACTCTCGTAAAGTACGCGCAGAGAATGTAACATTCGGTTTGACGGGTACACGTAGCGTGAAGCAGGAATATGGGACATGAAAGTTGACGGTGTATATATATATATATATATATATATATATATATATATATATATATATATATATATATATATATATATATATATATATATATATATATATATATATATATATATATATATATATATATATATATATATATATATATATATATATATATATATATATATATATATATATATATATATATAAAAAAAAAAAAAAAAAAAAAAAAATATATATATATATATATATATATATAATAAATACAGGAAAATGGAAACAACGGTGATTTTATCAAGATTTATCTTATCACGTTTTCATTGGTTACAAAATATATATATATATATATATATATATATATATATATATATATATATATATATATATATATATATATATATATATATATATATATATATATATATATATATATATATATATATATATGAGGTTGTAGGTCTCCCACAGGCTAATGAATCCCTCAGACATTGTCTCCAGTAAGCTAAATTCACCTAGCCCAACTCCAGAATAAAAATGTTATTGTTTACTTAAACATACAGTACACTACTGTATACCGGGTACATAAAAATATGGCACCCAACTCTTCAGAGCTAATCAGTAACTGTTTCTGAACTCTTACAAGCATTATTATCTATTAATGTCATACCTGACATATTTATCTTATTACTGTATATTTATTGGAAAACATCCTTTAAATTTTGAAAAAAACTTTAAATTATGATGACAACAGTGAAAAACACCGACGGTCATCACCATTCGTTCATAGTCTCACCAGCACGTAATGCCATTTATGGGCGTACAACAAAGACTAGCACATACTGTATTCAGTTGCCATTTTGTGTTTACCATAGTATGGACATCTTAGTACAGCAAGTAACAATCATAACATCAACAACTTAGTAAAACCATATCAACAAGGATGGTGCTAACATGTTGAGTTTATGGAATTTTATCCTCATTTTTAGAACACTATGGCCACAGACTATCTGCATCATATTCCATATCAGTAGGAGTAAACATTAAATGCTTAAGTACACTAAAAAAAAAAAATAATCCTAAATACTCCCTGCCTGTGCATCTTATACGTATGCCTTAAAATATGGCTGCTCGCCTGTTGTGCCAAATGACAATACATTTCGGATATAAAATGAAATGGTAAGGAGTTATCAAAATACTGTATGATTTGGACACAAAATGTTAACATTTACAAACACACTAACATAAATGACAATAGCTGTACAGTATTGTACAGAAAATGATCTCCAGTTGTCATGAAGAACCTACTGGTCATAAAACCTTTAGCAAAGTTAAATCTGGATACCAATAATTTACAGACACTTTAACAGCACAGTGATATTTAGCTTTAAATTTAGTTTTCTTGGGATTCTGATATCAATACCACTTCAGTTGTGCTAGTTATCATAACAAATATCTTGACAAAATACTGTCTGTATCAAAGGTTCTAATACTTTAACAAAGGTTCCTGCAAGATAAATATAACAACTTAGAATGACAGCCAACTTAGATGGTCAAAACTATCTTTATATAAGCCTCACAATAAACACACACACACATACAGTATTACTGTATTTAACTCAAGTTATGGCCAACCATTTACTATCTTACTGGATCTGTAAAACAAATACTGTAATGAAGTTTGTAGATTAAGAAAAATCTATACTTTGTTGCACAAAATTCTGTGTATGCACAGTACTGTATTCCATAGTTAGGATCTGTTGGTTTGATTTTATTCTGAAGTAGATGTCTATTTATGTCTATTAATTTACTATTAATATTCAATCAAGGTCACAAACTGAAGAAAAAGAAAAACATAATCACACTATAGTTTTGTCACAATAATGAAGATGACAACACAGGTACAGTATAGTATACAGTATATAAGTTCTTTAATCATCTCAAATACAGTACTGTACAGTACAGTACACACAAAGAGCACACCAATAAAATAAACAATTGTCAATTTAAGAACAAAGCACTAAATAATGGACTTACAATTACATATGTATTTGAATAATTACATATATAATAGCATAAATGAAGCAAATGATATGGAACTTTGCATATTATCCACCTTAAATAAATCCTCACTGTTTACCATAACTGACAGTGAACTGTACTGTATATCATGTAATATTTGTTCCCATTTCTATTAACATTACTAAAGTGTAGTAACATCTTCAGTGAACTGTTAATAATCATTTAATACACAATGTTTAAAAATACTTTTATCCTATAGCATATTTGTTCATTAAATTCTCTTTCAAAGAAGCCTATATATAGAAGTAGTTTTCATAGTCATTGTATGAGTGGGCTCTTCGTGTCCGTACGTTAGCATGTAGTTCATCATCATTGTCATCATCTACTGGTGTTTCAACCAAATCCACACTCTGGGTCCAGGGCAACTGAGGTAATAGGAAGAAAATTAGGCAAGTATGTTATGGAATACTTATACCTATATACTGTACTGTATACAAAGCAAATTAATTTACTCTATTAATTATTTATTCCTCAAAATGCATGTTATTTTTTTTATAATGATACATTAAATTTGAATAGATCCTAGCTTTGCAATCATTCAAAATACTACATTATACTGATAACCACAAGGAAAGAGAAAACACGAAGTTCCCAAGCGCTTTCATGTAATTCACATCTTCAGGGGTGAGTACAGACTAAGGAGAAGTACATAACAAGGTATATATATATACAGAGGAGGGTGAGATCAAGTCCACAATGGTCAGGTATTAGGTAATGACCCTACTAATCTTCAAAAAGCACCGCAGCTGTCGGTAATCAGGTCATATTCGACTTATGACAACCCGGACATGCAACGGCCATGGTCATATAAAATATTTTTCACATTACTTATTTTCGAGTCTCGACGTTAGTGATCGAGCTGTGACCTGACTACCGAATGTTGCGGTGCTTTTTGAAGATTAGTAGGGTCAGTGTAGTCTTAATGGCAGTTGAAAAAGTGGGCATAAACCCTGTACAGTAAGTCCTCGTATGACGTCGGCCCGCTTCACGTTGTTTCGGCACTACGTCGCTAATCTTTAGATACCAAAAATTCGTTTAACCTCCCAATGACTCAGTACAACATCGTTTTGCGTTGTCATGGACTACTTTTTATGGCGCATCACCCTCTCTCTCGTCTGGCCACGCTAAGCTCTCTTGGCAGCCGTATAGTCTCAGTGACTCACCACCCTCCTCTCCCGCCCTCCTCTGCTCCCACCATAATCATCCCCTCCCGCCATCCGCCTCCTCCGCTTCACTACCCACCCCACACTCACTCTACCACCTCCGCCCATCGGTGAGTACCAATACAAACTTAGTACAGTCTCTCCTCGACTTACGACGGGTTCCGTCCCGACGACCAGGTCGCAAGTCGAAAAGGCGAAAATAATACATAGAAATTCTAAAATGGGTGTCTCTTATTCTTCTCAGCACCACGAGAACTCTCACGTTTACGCTTGCCAACCATTTTAAAGAGAACTACAAACGAAAATTTTGTCAGTACACAGCGCGATCACTTATGTCGAGACTCGAAAATAAGTAATGTGAAAAATATTTTATACGACCATGGCCGTCGCATGTCCGGGTTGTCATAAGTCGAGGAGAAACTGTAGTTGTATACCTATGCTCTATTTTTTATAGAAATGGCAATGATTTTCTGTATATGTAATGTATTTCATGGGGCAAAGGGAGGCTCAGGAACGTAACTCCCATATTTAATCTATTTCTTATGGGGAAAATTGATCCACTTAACGTTGTTTTGTATAACGTCTCGTTTTTAGGAACGTAACCCCGACAGTAAGCGAGGACTTACTGTACTCTACATAAAAACAAAATATATTCTAATGGATTAAATACTGTACTGTCCTCTAATTTATAACACAATCCACAAATACAGGCTGATCATGTTGATTCCAAAGCTATAAAAAAAATAAAAAGAACGCAGAGAGAGAGAGTATATATATATATATATATATATATATATATATATATATATAGACGAAAAAAGCCCAAAACAAAGGCCTCTTACAGTACCTGTCGTCTTACTGCTGCTCTTGAAGGTGGAACTGGCCGTGGACTTCTAAGAGGAGGAACTGGACAAGGCTCCTCAATTTTTTCTGTCTCCTCAATATTATTTGTAGACTTACAATAGTTATTGTTATTAAGGTTAGTGTTAATAGTTGGTGTGTTGATTGTGACTGTTGAAGCTCCATTAGGGGAGATAGTAATGGTGGTGGAAGGCACCATGTTGTCAGATGGGGCTTCTACTGGTGAGGTGGATGATGTGGAGCAGGGTTTAGCTGGTGAAACAGGGAGGTTTTGTGTCTTGTGTACATTAGTGTTGATCTTCTTGGTAGAACACCGTCTAAGGGATGCTCTGAAACACAGGATCATTCAAATTTGCATTTTGAGACACAGTGGTGTTTAATTGCAGTAAGAGCCTAAATATCAAACAAAATAAATTATAATAATTACTTTAGACAATAAATTAATATTGTATTATACAAGTATAGTGTTCAGTTATTATATATACCAAGTGACAAGAGAAAAATTTCTGACTGACCATTGTGTAGTCAAGTACCACGGCCATTTACTGGAAGAGCTTCCAACCTAACGTAACTTAACCAAGTCAAAAACTAGGAACACCTACTCATAAAAAGGAGTAACAGGAAAAAAATCAACAGAAAAACTCTTTCTTATCCTCTAGAAAAAAATAAGAAAAAACTCTTTCTTACCTCTAGAAAAAAAATAGAGGAATTGTAACTTTATGTTTTTCCCAAAGTTTTGTTAAAACGTAAATACTTACGAACGCCTGCTGAACGAGGTTTAACTTTAAATTTACAGTATTTTGTCATTCCATTTCTACTTTTCTCTTAAAGTAAATGATTTTAGATGTATATAAGGTCTTAGGCTATGATATATAGGGATTTTAAACATTACGAAATGCAAGAGACTGAATCATTAGGAAACATATCACCTGTCCTAGTGTTTTAAACATCAACAATGAAGACTATATAAAAAGGATTTTCATAAATACCTAAGAGTTGCAAGAGATGTGATGTGGGCCTCTAGGTGCAGGGGAGGGTGTGTGACGTACCACAAGACATGCATGATCTCTAGAAACCCACCGTGATGTCAGTCTTAGTGGCCTTTCATCTTGATGAAGCTTACGTTCTCGTCCATCGTTTCGACGTACCTAAACAGTTTACCTTGTTATTGTTATACTGTACAGAACATATAAACGTAATACTCTACTGACGTATCAACACGGTGACACTTTAGAAATAATATGAAGCCATCAAAAGATAAAAATACCTGTACTGTACACCCAAAAAGACATAAATGTACAAAATCACAGACACACACACATATATATATATATATATATATATATATATATATATATATATATATAGACGTAGGAAGAAAGGCTTTATTATAACACAGTATTGTAATCAATTTAAAATAATTCAATATGCAAACCATAAGTATGATAGAATATGCATAATCATATGTGATTTTTTTTCATAAGCCTTTCCACCTCATTATAATTATGCAGAGATTATTTATTACTACATAAGTCATAAGGTTTACACATACCTCGTAAATAGAAAAATTATTAACATTATTGTGGATGTTGTTGCAGAGCAGCACCAGACGTATCAGCTCCTCACAGGTGGTTCTCTCACTGACAAGTAAACTCTTGTACTGTGACTGAAAAAAAATAAACCTCCAATCCTATCCTTGTTCTGCAATTCAAAGATGCGCATGAGCAAATCCTTATATGTCAGCAGAACCACAAAAGAACGTACCCCAGGAACAAGTGCCCCGTCATATACTCTTACAAGACCTCCTGGTCTCATCTTGAGGGCTAATCTGGAGTCTCCCCGAGGGTGACATGACTGTAGCTCTGCTGGCCTCGAGTCATCCTCCAGGGTTAGGGTTGTTCTCATAATGCCTCCTAAAAAGACACCTTTGAATAGATAAATCACGTATCTGCCTTGTATGTCGATCTATATACTGGTATTATGTTTATGAGCATAAAATTTAGGTGTGCAAGGTTGATTAGGTTAAAACTGTCTGTATTCTCTTGGTGTGGCAGAGTTCATAATACTGTACTGTATGTTTACACAAAAGAAATTCATAAGTTAATAGTTATATGCACTGTGCACATCATCAGTCTATGGGCAACAAGTGTGTCAAGTTGAGGAAAAATTCTCTCCTCGTATTCATTAGCAGAGAATAATTATATGCCACACTAGTACAAATTTACATGACATTAAAGAATATTTCCCCATGAAAAAAAAATCTTGGCCTGTTTAATTTCTTTCCAAAATGTCATTCTTCAAACGACATTTCTGGCTCGTTCACATTATCTTCCTCAACAATGAACAGTTTTTCCATTCACAAAACAATTTAATTACCAGCTTACCAGTTTTCCTGACGGTTACTTCCATAGTTAAGTAAAAAAGATTCGGATCTCGATGTTTCATTTTGAACTTAGGTATAGAGTGCACGAGCTCCCTGCAGGTGGTGGTGTAGGTGATGCACACGGTCTTGTACTCCATCTCCTGCATCAGGCACCTCACCCACACTCGCACAGTCGTCTGCAAACAGAAAATGTCTCTTTAACCATTTTGGGAAGCATATCTACATGTTATATAAATATCTTTCGTAACAACATGTACTATTCCTTTTATAATAAGTGAATATCGTTTGTTAACACGGATTTCCATTAGTTACAATAAAGGTAACGAAAATCACATTATATAGTACTTTCAAATGTTAAATAATTAAGGGCTGGGAATATCAACACCACTGCGAGATACCAGGAGTAAGAGGGGGGTAGGGGGGGGGGATTAGCTCGAAGGTTGAGAGAGAGTACTACACGACTTGAACACGTACTCCAGAGTTTAGATGACCTCAACACCATATCAAGCAAACAGTTTACTCCATAAGGTGGCGGCCCCCGTCCATGACACAACATCTGACACAACACAACACATAGCACATCACAACCATTAACACATGACACGACACAACACCTGACACTCGCCAACAAACATTACAGCTTTTGTTACGCACCCAACAAATATTTTCGTGCCTTTGTTATATACACTATCATTGTTAGCATCTCTCTCTCTCTCTTTTAGTAACCACTCCTACACCTCCCTCCACTAGCTTGTCAAAGGAGGAGAGAAGGTGGAGTAGGTAGGGGGAGGAGGGAAGGTGAAGGAAGAGTAGTTAGGGGAAGGAGTAGGTAGGGGGAGGAGGGAAGGTGAAGGAAGAGTAGTTAGGGGAAGGAGTAGGTAGGGAGGAGGAAGGTGAAGGAAGAGTAGTTAAGGGAAGGAGGAGGGTAGGGAAGGGAGGGCTCATGCATTAATGACAAACTGATGTAGAGATAAAATGGGAGACCTTGATGGTGTGGGTACAGTAAGGCGTTAATACTCCCACGGTCCTCTCCCGCAGTCCTGTTTTTACCGTCTGTGGTGATAGTGGTTGGTTAAGTTACATTCCCCTCCCCCTTAACTAACACCAACATTACACACCAGAGCAGCCAACATCTTCATTGAGAGCCAAATCAACCAGCCAAATCAACCAGCCAACCAACCAACAACAGTCACACACACACAAGAGCTGAGCCACGTTCATAAACACACACATACTGTATATACAAGAGCTGTACAGTTGCGCAAATGTGTTCCTAAGACCTCATGTAGTAACCCGTGTCTCCAAATAGCCAACCTATATGACCTATAGCAAACCGATCTACCAATCACGTCCATCGTTACACAACCAATATCCTTTCAATCATAAATAGTGATACTACTACTACTACTGCGACGGTGCCGTTTGGAGACAAGGGTTACCACAGTGGGTGTGAGAACACATTTGCGCAACTGTACGATACATACGCCCCATACACACAAGAGCTGGACCACCATACAGCCGGATACTAGTTAAAATGGCACACAACGGCAGCGTTGGCGAACACAGGTACGTGGGGTGACGGTGGACGGGTACGACGCAGCATGATGACAGGATAGTGTGGGTCACGGGCCCCACGGCCACCTTCAGAAAAAATCACAGGATAATCGATGAGAACTGGCGGGTGATGAATGCCCTGAGGTGGGAGGTGGATCAGGAATGCTAAATGATGAGGTAGCAGCAAACACCAGACTGGCGGGTCAAGGGCGCTCTGGGACGGCACACAGTCTGTTGCAGGACACTATCTATCTATCTACACCTGTGTGTGTGTGTGTGCATACATAGTCGTATGTATGCATGTATGTATGTATGTTATGCGTGCGTACATGACTGTGTCCAAGTTGTGATTGTCACTGTTCTAGCCACAACGTCAAACAGCAGGAGTTACAGCTCACTGTGCAACCTTTCACTGTCAATGCCGCGACCTTTGGCTATCACTCCAACCCTGTAAACGCTTCTGCGCTTCACCTTGCACAGGATGTAAGGGGTGTATAAACTAGCCCCCTCGGGGGCAATCTTAAAAAATCTAAATCTAACCGTCAGTGTGTGATGATGATGATGATGATGATGATGATGATGATGATGATAACGATGAAGATGATGTGATGATGATGATTGATGATGATGACGATAGATGGTGATTGATGATGATGATAATAGTGATGAAGATGATGTGTGATGATGATGTGTGATGATGATGACGATGAAGGTGATGTGTGATTGATGATGATGATAATGGTGATGATGATGATGATGATGATGATGATGATGATGATGATGATGACGATAATAACAACAACTTACTAACTCTGTAATGTCAGGTGTTACTTTCCTCATGAAGGAGCTGGCTGACATATTGTTTCTTGGAGAGGTTATGACGCTGTAATATACGTAATGACTAAACAAGCTTAACCAGACTAACTCGTGTTAAGAGTGTCAAACCAAACTAGATAGTGTCAAGTCAGCTCAGGTGGGTTATTATGAGGCGTTCAGGTGAGGCACAGTGAGGATCCGTCAACTCTATTTGAAACTATGGCACTAAACTTACAATGAGAAATTATTGGAAAAAAAACACCAACAAAATCTTCAGCTGACCGTCACCTTCGATCGCGTGACCGTCAACACAGCTCATCTCTGGGTGGTGATGAAGATGTTTACTTGGTGCTGCATGACTTATTTTCTTGGCCAAGTTTAGGTTAGGTTAGGTTAGGTTAGTGTTTGCGGCAATATAAACCTGCTTGCCCACCCACTCACATACGGCATGGGTGATAACAATACCTCTTAGCTGAGACACGAAAAAAGGATTACAAAAGCAAAACAAACAACAAAAATGTTATGTTGTCAAGGTATGCAAGCATTGTGAGGGAGCCGTTACTCCCTGGGGGCGACGCTGTAGGGGGGAGTGACGGACCAGTAGTGGGGTGGGTGACGGGGAGGGGGGGTTGGGAGGTGATGGATAGTGGGGTATGAAGGAAGGAGGTGATGGAGGAAAGGCGTGGGGATGATGGGTGGGGAAGGGAGAGGGGAGGAAAGAAGGGTAGTGACAGTCACTGGAATGGGAGGAGAGAAGGAAGGCCTGGGTGAGCCAAGTATCATGGTGGACAAAGTGACCTGAGGGAGAGGAAGGGGGTACTTATTTAATTTTGTTTAAAATTTTTCGTGAACAGCGGCTATGATTTATTGCGCACCCCATATTCTTCCTGTTTAACAGACCCCAGTGATCAGGATTTATTGTCCAGAACATTATTTGTTTAGGTATGAGTCTGGGAGTTGAATTATCTACAAGGTGCAAAACGTGGATACAGTTTTAATACATCAGTTATCTTGCTATATAAGGTGCTGCGCAAATGCACACACTGTAAGCCTGGTCTTCTCCTTGCAAGTTTCTATTTGCTCACAGTTTAGAATGAAGTACAAACACTCTACATTTTGTGCTGTTCACATCTGCATGAGGGGCAACTGCCACTGACAGAGGAACTTATATCCTAACCGTTTTCTATCAGTTACAACATCTTATAGTCTATTAACCTTGTTACTTACTCAAATATTCATGTTTTGCTTGATCATCATAGCAGATAATGGATTGACTAGTGCCTGTTTGCACTTGTCTGCTTGCTTCAAATTCATCAGCAAATTCTTCCAGATTATAGTTTTAAGGGTTCAGGATGCCAGACCTAGATTGTAATGTATTTACTGGACACAAGTTTAGCTTGGGCATCAACTCTGTCATGTTCATTAAGGCCTATGTGAGATGGGATCCAATACATGCTTATTTGTGTCTGGTTTTAGAGACAAGTGTGTGACACTTGAGTTGAGGATGTCATGAGCAAGTAGTGAGGCTAAGGAATCAGGGATGGTAATGACTCCAACAAGTTTCAGGGCTGTGATAGCCAATAGTTTAGTTTGTAGAGTGGAGGCCCAGCCAACTGATTCTAATCCTTTCTCTAATGTATTACCGTTAGGCTAAGCCACAATGGGAAGTGAGGAGCACTGAGTAGGGTGGGGGGAGGAGGTGGGAGTGAGTGACCTGAGGGATGGGAGAGAAAAACAGAATGACAGGGTGACCAAAATTTATCACCTACATGACAACATAACAAGAAGGAAGCGTACCGAAAATAACATAAAATCAATTGTGAAGAAGAGAACACCAATAAAAACTGAACATCAACCCAAAGATAACACAAGAACACGGATATAAAATCGAACGCCACAGAATTCAATCATACCTTGGAGAGTCAGTGGGAACTGTATCTCAAAGTCCCCTGCTGAAGGTGAGAGAGCCTACTTATTTTATTTCATTTAAAACCTGATACGAAAAAGGCCGACAAAGTTACACTGGGACTGTACTATAGCTGAACGTGTTCATTCACCCTCACATGCAGGTAAGTGCCGTACTCTTTGATAATATTAATCATCGTCCCCGCCAGACCACACGAGTTGGATAAGTTTTACGAGTGTTACTGGCCCTTACACTCTACTCTACCGAGATGCTTTCCTGATATAGACAAGGAAATCCAAGAGTTTATTATCCCTCTTTCTGGTAAGCTGAAAATTCGTCTTAAACAATTCACCAGTGAAATGATACCAAAACGATGGTTTAAATTACATAGAGATTATACTGAAACTCTACCATAATTAGATGTGCTCTCACATGCCAGACAGGAGAAAATACTGCCTTAAGAATCTCTGAGAAAGCAAGCCTCAGGGACCATCAGAAGGCAATGTATATTCCTCCTACCATAACTAGATACATTCTTCAGAGAGCAAAAAAAAAAAAAAAATAAAGCAGGAATTTTTGTGACTCGGGAGTTGGATCACGAAGCCGTCTTGCACAATGGCCGCTGGCGGAGAGGCCCGGGGGTCTATTCTTTGTTGATCACGCGGGTACACTGGCTGGGGGAGGCGGGGGTACTGAGGTGGCCTTATCTCAGAGATGCTTTCCTCCAGGGTACTGCTCCAGGCTGAGACACGACTGGGGCACGGATATGGGAAAGGTGGGGTGGGGTGGAGAAGACAAGAGAGATAGAAGACAAAGAGGAGAAAAGAAGACGTGATAGAAAAGACAGATTAATCGAGAAAGCAAATATCACCAACTATGTCCAGACATAGGATAATAGAT